ATCAATCTTGACTCTTGTCCAGTGCCTAAAGCTCACTTACACTAATGAAGAAAAACAGAATAATAACAAACAAACAAAAAAAAACCAAATGAAACCAAGGAAAAAAAGAAGGAGGAGGGGAGGAAAACAGAGGGAACTTCTCAGACTTTGAGTACAACTGGGTCATTGTCATTAGGCTGTGATTCTGTAGAGTACATAGTTTGAGAGACAGAAGACTTGGTGCACAAAGCAGGCCACAATAATGAGCAATGGCAGATTTGCATGTCAGGTCTTTCCACCATAGTACAATTAGTCCACTGATACTGTAGGCATGACTAAGGATGGTGGGATATGAGGATAAGTGATAAAGACAAAATGAATGATTAAATGGCCTCAGACCTAACTTGTGACCTCATTCTATCATAAACGGCAAAAAGTGAGAGAACTCTTGCGTGGATCAAAACCTGGCAGGGTTAGCTGAGCACATGAGACAAAAGAAATAGCACAGCACACTCATTCTTGGCTGCCACAATGCTCAGTCTGCACCAGAGACACAGAAGACTCAGGTAGCATCTGGGTCCCAGAACAACCTCGCTAACTACCAGGGGAGATGATTAGGCTGCTTCCAGAGATAAAAAGCAGCAGCTGCTGATTAAGGAGAGCCAAGAGACAGCAGAGACACTCTCAGTCTGCTGCAGAGCAGTAAGCAACAAAAAGACTGGAATCCACGTGAACAAGATGTCACTCTCCAGATCTCTTATCCATGTAGCACACAGCTCACCACGCTGAATGGGGACCAATCCAGAAATGCTGGTTAACTCTGCACTGCAGTCTTTCCCATGGTCTCCATAAATCGAACTCAAAAGCCTGGTTCTAGGCTCTTGTCTTTGTTCAGCAAAATACAGTCCCCTTTAGGCTTTAGGAAGCGTGTTCAAGAGGTGCCAGATTATGTCCAAGTCACCAGGATGTGGCAGCAGGTGAGAACAGGTAATCTTAATTTTCCTGCTCTGTCTGCATTGCTTCTCCATGGCAATTCTCAGGGGCCTGTCCATTAGACTGTGATATTAGCCAGGAGTCCTCTGGAGAGTTCTGTCATCCCAGTCATTTGATTAGCAGCTACAGCCATGAACAAACCACCTTGTCCTATGGTGCACTCCTGTTCCCAAGAACCAGGCATTATGCAACACTGAAAGTTTTCCAAACCTGTCCTATGTCATACTCTGGAAACCAGACAAAGGTACTTGCTATTATCCACATGTGTGGGAGAGACAGTCACCTTTAGAGACAAATTTGTGGCATTTGCTCTTTAGAAACAGCGAAATGCAGTGATTCAAATTCCTAATGAGACCACAAAAGAGTCTGCTGTGGCTTTTAGAAAATAAGCAGACATGATGAGATTTTGGAAGGAAATGGGCACAATTGTGGTAATCTGTACAGTAACAAGAAATTGCTACTGGAGATCTACCCAGACACAATACTGCAATTGAGAGATTGAACCAGCAGCTAAATATGGGGGGAAATTGACCTCATCAATAACAGAGCTGCTTCAAACAAACAGGCATTTACCTTTTCCAAAACTCTTTTTATTTTTTTTAATCCCTACCATAGCAATTGGATAGAATCATAGAATCATTTAGGTTGGAAAAGACATCTAAGATCATGGAGTCCAACAGTTAACACTGCCAAACTGACCCTTAAATCATGTCCCTAAGCCTACTCTGTTAAACTCTTGCCCTCAGAGTTATCCAGCGACTTCAGCATCCATCAGCAATGAGTTCCCGGCATGGCAGAGCATTTCTTCTGACTTGCTTTTGACTTTGCCACTTTTAACCTTCACACAATGCTCCTTGTTCTTCCCCGATGGTAGAAATAGCATTTCTTGCTCTGTAAAGCCTACACCTTCGTTGTCTGTAACCTTTTATCATCTCACTTCTGATTCATTTCCTCTCCAAGGTAAACAGCCCCAATCTCTTCAATCTTGTGCTATATGAAAGTTTTTCCTTGTCTGTTTAAAAACTGATTTATGTAAACAGTTAAAAACTTACTCTGTTAGCTTAGCTTGTATCTATAAATTAGCCATGCATATTAAATTTGTATTAGCTAGGTTTAACTGAATTAAGTGTATCCACACAGGATTTTTCATCAAATTCCTAAAGTCAGTTTAAAATGACACCTTTTGTTAAAGCAAAGCAAATGAAAGTGTAGTTAGGCCATAGCCAGTTTCTGATCCACAAATACTTCCAAGAATTCAGGCAGTTCTTCAGAAAGGGTATATTTCAGCAGACCCCTTAGAGAGTGTTATCTCCATTATCCTGAAATTCATGAAGCCCCCACGCATAGCAGGGAGTAATTCTTCTCAAATATTTTCCATCAGCAACACAAGGATTTGTTACAGAATTAACTTAATATGTTTAACCTTGATAGCACCTCCATTTGTGGGAGATAGTTTATTGCCTAGGCAAGGTAAAGCGCTACTAAACCACAGATTTTAATTCAGCTGCAAGTAAGCTGCCCTATTGTACTCAGAACACAACAGCAATATAACGAAAACTGGTCTAAAAATTAATTCTGAAAATATCAAGTACAATCATTGTTAAGTTTAAACAAAGGATATTTGCTAGTTCATTTCAAGACTTAGTTGCACTCAAAACCCAGTGAAAACTGGCTTTTACACATACAGGCACACAGAGACATTTGCCTATGGAATAGAAGTTTTAAATAATGGCTATTAAATGCAAGGTATTTCTTAATGACAGCATTCATTGTTATCCTTGTAATAATACATTTGACAGAGGAAGAAAAGAGGAATTTATCGAAAAGCTGCCAATGGATTTTAATAAAAAATACTTCCCAATAGAAGGCAACAACATCCTTATCTACTAAGCCACAAGTGCTTGAGTATTTCTCAAGGAATTTAGAGGCAGTATTTTGCAATAGAAACTTAGAGAAAGTTACAAAGAAGCAAATAATTCTAAAAATCAAACATACAGGCCACTGAGTTGAAAGAAAGTAATTTCCCACATTAACATTCAGATCTATTATACATGCACACAAATTTCCATGCAAATCAGACTTCACTTATTGTGTATTTTGCCTTATTTAATGAAAAATGAAAAAGACAGAAGAACACCTAACCCCTTCCATTTTGCCTATTAAGTTGCTGCTGCCTGCAGGACCCTGGTGATGGCATTTCCACTGAGGCTAATCACAGAGAAGAAGTGTGCACATAAACAAGAGAAAACTCATGCTCAGGTTAGAGAGAGCAGCCACCCAGCCTGTCCGTCACGTTCACCTCTATTCACACAGTAATTGCTCTACTCTCTGGAAAGCTGACGAGACCCATCATGATCTCAGAACACTAGTTATCCCCTACTGAACCATTTTCAAAATTGGTAAATAATACAGCTAAGCATAAAAGGAGGGACTGTCAAACAATTCCACATCAGAGAACTCACTTTCACAGAATGTGGAAAATTGGCAAAAGCAGCTGAAATACACAGTAAGTCCTGGTCACTGCTACAGCTGCAGTCCTGGCAGCGATGGCCCTTTGTGTCCATGCCATGTGTGTGTCCCCTTGACACTTCCCTATAACCTTCATTTCTCTTTTCCCACAGGGAAATAAATGTGCTGGCAGTCTCCTGCCCCCATCAGCTCCACACTAGCGGAACGTGCAGGCTGGATGGGCAGAGCTGCTGTGGGAAAGGCTTACAAAGAGCCCCATTTTGCTTCAAAATGCCTTCCTGCCAGCTCACTTCTCCTGCCTAACTCCACTATCTATAGCTTTCAAATGCTTCCCCTTCATAATCACACCTCCTACTATTCTGAAGACTATTTTCTGGGAACGCTGAACATATTTGTTGGCTCACTGGCCCCTAGCACACTGACTGCTCATTCAATAGCATTCACACAAGACTGGAAAAGACTTGTCATCCTCTTACTATCTGGCACTCTGTTAGTAGCTTACTACTGTTTCCCTCTGCAGTACAGGTCCAAATTGAATGTCAGACACAGGAAAATGCCAGCAAAAGCTCCGGTTCACAGTCAGGAACCAGCCACAGGATACAGTCCAAAACTAGATACATCCTGGCACATTACCATTATTAGCACAAGGTTTGCCATGAGTAAAACCCTTTGTCATTCTTCTTTTTGACAGTGAGGACAGGGAAAATTAGAGTTATTACAGTATTTCAAATATCTGCTGGGTGATAATATCCTATAGCAGTGGCATTAGTCAAAAACAGGCAGACATCAGAATAAACAGATTCTCCTGCCTCCATTGCCAGGACTTCTCAGAAGCAAATTCCCACTGAGATCTCACAACCTACAGTGTAATTGTCTCCTGGTTGCCCAGCTATTCAGAAAAGGAAGGAAGGGATTAGGCCTCTAAGTCTTCCTGCTCACCAGCCAGGCTGCCAAGCACATCCACCACCCAGCCTCATTCCTCCTGCTGCCTGGCTCTGTGACTGACTGACCTTCCCAGACTGTGCACAGCCACACCAAACACACCTGGGGCACTCCTGATGGTGCCTGAATTGTCAGCTAAAATAGTCACCTGGCTGTCACTGGGAGCAACACAGGTAGGCAAAGGGGAGCAGCTCAATGCGCATGCTTTCAGTCCTGGTAACATGGTAAACAGCTAACATATGGTAATTCTGAGGGGGTTGACACATTGCAGCAAATTATTAAAAAGCTGACACTCAGCTAAAAGAGCTGACACTTTAAAGTTACTCCCTAGCACAAAAGAGAAAAAATGAAAGTGAAATGTGACTGAACTGTTGTTTCACATGCTCATATTTTGTTGACAAATTTATTTGTAGGTATGAATTCGGCCCTTTCTTAAGAGTGTCACCATCAGCTGCTGATAAAAAAGCAGCCTGACTCTATTACAGATGTGTTTTTTCTCAAACTGGTGATCCAGTAAAAGCAAGAAGACAAAGAATTCCACTCTTATAAATTTGTTGTGCAGGCTAAGGCTACACTATCAACTGCAATATTTGACATTGTTACACATCCCTTCTAGAAAAGACTACTTAGAATTTGAAATATTGTATTATAATGAAATACCTCTTTAAATATATCAGCCTTGGAAAATGCAAGTTAGCCAACAGTTTCCACTTCAAAATACATTTCCTTTTTAAGGTCCTTCAAAACACTGTTCAGTTATCACACTAACACTTTAGATCAACTGCCTAATACCAAAAATAGATTCAGATTAGGTATCACATCCTCAGCACACTGGTGTTCCTTAGTTCTAAGACTGTTTTTGATAGAGTAGGGTATGCAATTTTACACTGTTGAAATATTACACTTAGTGCTACATGAACATGGAAGTGTACAGGTTTCATTGTAGCAGCACTGTTTAATTACATAAAGGAGGACGGCACTTCTCACTCAAAACCTCAGAATTCCAAGATCTGATCATGTAAGTATGTAAGACTGCAGTTTTATTTATAGTTGCATTCACTCAAGACAATTGTCAGGTAATTCATATTAACTTTTGGAGCTTAAATGTATCTGAAAACTCTCAGTAGATGCCGTTTCATTTTAAAAACCATTAAAGCATTTTGTAGCACAGAATCATACAGAAATGATGTGGAAGATTTACAGCATTCTCCTGCTCCAAGGAAGGATAATTCCTAATCCCAAACAAAATCTCATCAAGGGACTTTCTAGAGAGTTTTGTGTGGAACATAGTAAGATTTGAACAATGCATGCTCAATAAAATTGTAATTTTAGTAAACTTTAAATATTCAGATTTATTTCAAAAAGAGATCTGTCTGTGTTCCTTCCTTTTTCTTATTTTCCAAATCTGGAAATTTCTCCCAAAATTATACTGCTCAAAACAATCCTCTTACAGCTCTGAAGAATAGAAGTGACTTTCAATTTCCCATTGATACTACAGAATGTCATTCTCCTAAGTGTGTATATGTAAAAATTCTCTAAGTTGTTAGAGCACTGACAATGCACAACTAACCCCATCTGAACCTGCTAATACACCTTCCTCTAGATTATTTTTTAAGTCTGTACTTCTCCACTCTCTCATGCATAATTTCTACTCATAACAAGTTTTACTTGGTCATAAATCATTTTAAGTCAGTAAAATATAACATGCCTGTGAAAAACACGGTGAAATTCCTTTGCTAGTAGGACACAAAATTTGTCCTTAGCCTACATGAAGTCAAATATTAGATCTCAGCTTTAAAGATGCTGAAGTACTTTTCCAAACCCTGTGTTTTTTAAGTTTAATAATTTACTAGTCCTTTTGATCCTTACACTTCTGGGCTGATGTGAAGTGCTGTCAGAGAGGGACAGTAACAGTCATGGCAAGGGGGTGGTCTCTGTTTTCTGTTGCAGAGTCTGCAGGAGCACTGCCAGCCATCCTGGCACAGGTTTGGAAGGAGATCAGAAGAGAGGACAGTAACAGACTACAGATGTGAGGTAAGACTTTGTCCCTCTCTGTGGCCAGCATTGCATTGGCATCCAGCACCAGCTGCACAAATGGAATATGGGAATAGTATTTTACCTATGGTGAATGCGCCTCCAGATACTACAGACCAAGCAATGGCCAGCCATATAAGCAGGTCACATTCCCTCATTCTTGCAAACTGAGGAAAAAGGATGAACTGCCTCATTCTTCTTTTCTGTAACTTAGCCTTTAAAATTTATCACTCAATCCCATTTATGCATTTTACATTGGTTTGGCTTTTAAATATGAGTTTTATTATTTTTGCCTCACTGCTGTACGTATGCTTCACCCCCATTATTTTATGCACCATAACAAGAGTTGGTTGGAAGAAGAGCTCAACATTTTCTGCCTTTACTCTGCACAACACATACACTTCTGTTTGTGCACAGAGTGGCTTGATGCACACAGTGCATTTCTGTACTTTTCATTTGGTAGCTCACCTTTTCAATTCTCTGCAGTGATCTCCACACCACCTTTCAGAGGTCCTGACCCTGGCTACTGAACTTCTGTACTTCTCACAGTGCTCTGGGTAGCTGTGACAGTCTCTGCCACAGATGTACAACAAAACAGGACCACACTGCATACTGAGATTATTGATACCACAGAACTGTGTGTCAACAGGTGCAACTGCTCTGACCTGAGTCTTAAAAATGGCAAAAGTCCTACCTATGACAGATTCATCTATAATTTTCCTTTGTGTAGGTGAGAAACAAGTCATCTCTATCAGCAAATAAAAGAGTAATGCTGTTAACTATTGTGTCACTGTGTTTTCCTGCTCCTAGTTCTTATTATCACAGTTCATAGTACAAATGTACCTGTTATCTATGGTTTTCTGACTTTATTGTCTCTAGTCTCTTCCAGTTACTACCATCAGATGTAGATGTATGACTAAGAGGTGTCACACTATGATCACAGGTAACATGCACAGTCACTTGTGAAATGCAGACTGACATGGCAGAATGACACCTTTCCATGGACTTTGCTGGAATCTGCAGACAAACACGGGCAGTATGGAGATATCAGGAATAATGCCAGTCAATAGGATAGTGTGACCAAACCAATAACCTGCTGTGAGAAGCTAAATGTGACTCTAAAACAGCAGCAATTAAGTACAAGTGTGACTGCATCACCTGATTGGTTAGGAAGACCTCAGTGACTGTTTTGTGTGCAGCGGCATACAAAAGCATATGACTGCAAAACAACTGCAAAACTGAAGAGAGAATGTTGTTGAATCTTACCAACAGGCAGAAAATGCAGAGCAGAGAGCAGATCAGGGAGCCCAGAGCTTTTTCCCTGCCCTGAGCAGTGTCTCCCAGCACACGATGATCCCAGTTTTGATGTTGATCTGGCTGATTATCGCATGCCAGTCCTGTTGTAAAGATTCCCTGAGACACACTGACCTTGATCACCTCTGATGCTCTAACCTCCACATGGCCTCTCTCTGAATTGATCCATCAATTATTTATCTTCTGCATAGGGTGTGTTCTCTTGACAAATTCAAGAAGTGGCACCCTTGGATCCCACTTTAAGGTCAAACAAGGCTATGCTTTGTGTAAGACCACAACAGCATGTGACACTGCAGTAGCCACCTCCCTACTGTGGTAGGCAAAGTAAGTCTGACTCTTTGTTGCCGCCTTGCTCATCTTGAAAATCTGCATGGCTTTCCTTCCCTCTAAGCTTGCTACTCCTCCCTTCTCCCTGTGGACAGATATTCATGACCTCCTCAAAAATTTAATGTTCTCCGTTAAAGCAAAAATTCCCCCAAGCGCACAGCAGGCACCCTTTAACTACATGCACTGAAGTGACTACAGAACATCTGTGGATGTCTGTCTTTGAGGCCATGCCAGCAACCTCACCATTTCCCTGCATCCATCTTAACAGCCATCTGATAATGGTGTGTCATTTCCTGTGCCACACCATGTGTGCAGGGATGTAGATGATAATGCAGATGCTGGCTGCTCTGCTTAAGGAAAAAGTCATTTTATCACTTGGAAATTTCAGCATGTCCCTGACATAGTAAAGTTGAAACATGCTTCCAGTTATAAATTAGTTCATATAGACGCACTCTATAAATGGACTGATCTTCCCGAAACCACTTACTAGATCGGGGAAAATTTAGTTTAAGAGCATATCCTATGATAGTGGGAGAAATAAGACAGGACAAAAAATGGGGATTATTTAAGTTCCGAGATCTTTGGGGAGATCCTTTTTAGCGTGTCATATCTCAAACCAAACTAACCTAAATATTATTGTATCTATTTTCTTTGGCAATGGCTTGCTGTTGCCATTTACTAGATATGAAACAATAGGTGGGAGAAAGTAAGCCAATTAATTATTAAAAGTGGTTTTCACATACTTTGAAAGTCTGCATGTCCTCGAAGCACACTCAATAAAGTTAACAAGGCTAACCAGGGCACTGTACAACGTCTGTGAAGCCTCAGTTGGTGTTTTGTGAATGCTGCGGAATTCTGCTGTGTGCTTCCTTAACTCCACATGGACCCAGTGCACACTTCATAAAGCTGTTTTGCCTCAAAACTTTACAAACCTCTCTCTGCTAGCCCTATTCAAAAGTTGCTGCTTTCGATTCGTTTTCCAGCTACTCCCTCTCTGCCCCTCCACGTCACTCCCTCTCGTTCTTAATTCATCTGAAGAGCAGAAGTTACCTACCCCCACACATCATGCTCACCTGCCCATCTCTGAGGACTTGTAGTCACCCTTCCTGTGTCATGTCTGATTCACACCTCAAGGCAATAAACTACTCTTTTTGAATCCACAGAAAAGCACAATGCCTATTTATTTATACTATGTTGAATACAAAATTGCTACTAAATATAATAGCCACAAAAGTTATCTTTGCTAGATACTAGCCCTTTAACTCCCTTTCCACAAAGACCTTGAGTAGTTTGGGTCCAAAACCAGATTTTCTGCTATGGTCTCCTAAAAATCAGTACAGACTCACTAATAACCGCAGTGAGAAAACCATCACTGGGTAATAGCAAAACAGAGATGTCAGTGGTGCTTGAGGCACTTGTTGAAATCAATTAACACACTCTGTGCTGATAGAACAGGCATGGGTTCCACCATACTTTCATTTAATTCTCCAATCAATTATAAGAATCTTTTGCAGAGGGTCTAGAACTAAAGGGGGGAATGTTACCTTTATTTTCCTTGCACTTCCTGATCACATTATCACTTTGAATAACCTGTGTCGAATAGCTTTTTGGAAACAATAAACCCTGTAACCATAGGACAAGGTGTTCAATGGAATGAACTCCAAAGCCCAGGAACACCAAGTGCATTAACCAAGCTTTGTGGATTGAGTCTGTAATTTTGATTCACTCAACACTTGCTTTTCAGTCAAAGAAACTGTTCCTATTCTGCTTCTGTAACAAGATTTGTCTTCTTATAATATATAACAAAAATAACAGCTGCATTTAAACACATGGCAGAAGCCATTAGGCATGGAAGAATTACTCTTTTTCTAGTAAATCGTGGCTGTCTAACAAATTTTATACATGACTGTCCTTGTCCATACTATGAGCCAACTGTTGTCTTGTTTTATCCCAGTTAAGATGTACTGGTTACTAGAGTTCCTGAAACAACTTATATTGCCCCTGTATCTCAGAATGCAATGTGGGGAACTGAAGTAAAACAGAAAATTTTGTTATAGGCAGAGGAGAATTTCAGAAACATGCAGAAAGGATGACAGTGAGGAAGCAAAGAAACTACTGTAGAATACTAACATCTGCATTGCCTTTCAGATCCATTTTTTTTCCTTCTACACATTTAAACATCACACTAAAACCTGATCTGACCCCTACTTTTATGGAAATTATTATCAGTGGTCCTGTTGTTACTTTTCCCATTTGCAGCTGTAGTCCCATTTTCTTTACTATTTGGGTATTTTCAGAGACAAGGTGTTAAAAAACAATAACTCTACTGAGACTCTGCAACTTTTTATACCGTTGCTGGACAACTACTGCTGGCAGCGAGTCAGTAGAAAAATCCACCTAGCACAAGGTGCTGGGAAATAATCCCAGTCACTGTATGAGCAGCATGGCTACAGGCAGGCAGAGAAGAACCAAATATGGAACCAAAGAAAAACTGAACCACTTCACACATCAGTAACTATACATCTCTCTTAGCTTAGGCGATTAAGTAAACTGAAACCTCAGTCTAGTAAAAATTGCTGTGCTGTAAGGATTCAGCAGAACAGTAAGTTTTTATCACAGATAGAGATGGTCTAAAAACACTACAAGCATCTAGGAAAACACTGGGAATAGCATGCAACAACATGGGCATTGTTCGTCTCTAGCTTCATTGATTATCCATTGTTTGAAGCCTCAGATTTGTTACAAGCTGGCACTCAGCTCTTGGCCTGGAACTCCTGTGAATACTGGGCTTTTGAGAACAAGCTCTACTTAAGTGGGAAGGATATGCCATGCACTGGCCAAGCTCTGAGCTGTCATGTGCAGTCCTGAATAGAACTGCTTTCCAGTCTCAGCACATAGGCATGAGCACATACCACTACATCTGAGTCAAGGCAATGGCCCAACTGCTCAAGAGGAGATAACAAAGCCCTTTTCAGTGCTGCATCTTCGTCCAAGTAGGAATCCTCACAACCCTTCTGCAGCCAAGACAAAATTGCCTTTAACCAGAGAGACAGTTCTGTGTCTTCTGCATACAAAACTTGTGGTTGTGTTGCCGATGAGTCAAGAGCATTGTTCAGCTCCCACCCATGATGTTCATTGTTTATGTCGCTGGATTTGTTATTCAATCAACTACATATGCACTTAATTTCACTTTGTACGAACTCCAAGCAGTATTTACTTTTCATGAAATCTCTCTATTACAATGAATATGTTTACTCCTGGACCCAGTCAGAGTGTGATCACCTTTTCAAGCTTCATCCATGTATTGATCAGTGGGCTGAAAAATTTAAACAGTTTTAAGACTGATAAACTTCACCAAAACATTTCTCATATGATTTGTTTGAGAGGACAACTATTTCAAATAGCATATTCTTTTTTTAGAAATCTTTGTATTTCTAAAATTTTAAAGAATCATCAGGGTAAAATTTTAAAGAATCATTCACATGCACTATCATGTATGTTGTTTTAGCACAGACACAGGCAAATCACAGGTGTGAATTCCTCATTCTCCAACTTTATGCCTTAACATAAAACACACATTCTCCACACTCCAGATTCTGGGATTCAGTTAATCATCTTCTCAATAGCTGGGAGAGTGCAGCATTTTTTATTTAGTGTAAGAATACTGTTGACATCTACTTAAGGTAAGATTTTTTCCCATATCATAGAATCATGGAATCCCTAAGTGGTTTGTATTGGAAGGGATCTTAAAAACCATCTAGTTCCAAACCCCTTGTCATGGGTAGGGACACTTTCCACTATACTGAGTTGCTTAAAACCCCATCCAGCTAGGCATGGGGCATCCACAACTTCTCTGGGCAACCTCTTCAGGTGCCTCACCACCCACACAGTTTATTCCTAATGCCTAATTAAGAATTAGCTCTTCCAGTTTAAAGCCCTTCCCCTTGTCCTGTCATTCCATGCCCTTGTAAAAAGTCCCTCTCCAGTTCTCCTCTAAGTCCCCTTTACACGCTCGAAGGCTGCTTGGGGTCTTCAGAGCTTTCTCTTCTCCAGCCTGAACAGCCCCAGCTCCCTCAGCCTGTCTCCACTGGAGAGGTGCTCCAGCCCCCTGATCATCTTTGTGGCCTCTTCTGGACTCACTCCAGCAGCTCCATGTCCTCATTATGTTGGGGTACCAGAGCTGGATGCAGTGCTCCAAGTGGGGTGCACAAGAGTGGAGCAGAGGGGGAGAATCGCTGCCCTTGGCCCGCATGCTGGTCACACGGTAAAAGGAATTGCCAAAATACAATAAAAAAGTAATTTTGGTGATATGAAAATGGTGAGGTCTTGTTCCCAATATCTTATCTCCTTTTGGATTCTTTGATGTCTAATAGAACATGAGTTTGTTATTCTTGACTTCAGATACTAACAGTTTCTCTCTTTCTCTCTCTTCTTCGCATCTGCTTAATTTTGTAACAGAGGCACAATCCTAGGTTCATCTAAGGATTCATTCTCTCACTAGAAAAAAAAGTGAGGCAGATACATGAAATGCATCAAAATGCAGAAGCAGACCTGCCTGCAAAGCAAGGCTTTCAGTTCATAATGAATTTCCTCTTTTTTATTTTTTTTTAATCTGAATTTTTTACTTAGTCTCCTCAAAGCAGATAGCTCTTGGGTCTTGCTCATCAAAACAGGTTAATGGCAGGGCTAATAGCTTTGCTGCCCACATCAGCAATACAAAGAACTAAAACCTCCCTTCCAGAGGCACCTGCCAGGCACTCTGGCTTTGGGCAGCCATTCCAGGAACAGGTGTCCAGGAGTCTCCCCATACAGTCATGAGCTAGCCTGGCCCAAAGCTGTGATCTGGGAATGTGCAGGATAAATACCTGAATATGAGGGACTCCGAATGTCCTGGATCTCTGGCTTTGGGTCAGGCTGACCACTCAGGCAGCCACCAGGCTCTGGGAACCCTGGAAGAACAGGGTGCTGACTTTTTTTCAGACCACTTCATCAGGAAGAAACTGAACTATGCAGATCAATACCAATATCACAATGGTCCACAGCACAGATAGGAATAGCTTAAGAATAAAGAACAGATGGTTAAGAGTGGATCTGAAAAAGACAGAGTTCATGTTGCTGGGCTGGGGAATGATTTCTGAAATCTTCTTACCAATGGTTTAGACAAAGACGTTATTCTCTGGCTCTGTCCTCACTTTAAGCATACACTTGAATTTTTGTCTGACATCAAAAGCTCAGAATGACAACAACCACAAGTATAGTTTTCTGCCCTATCTGTGTGGTGAAGAATTTGTCCATCTATCCATACCTTGACCAATGGCCTGACCTTGACCATTCATGCCTGCATTACATCTTGGCAGAACCATAGCCCATGATACACTTGGCCCAAAGCCTTTAGTACTAACAAACTCCAACTAATACAAGGTGGTGCACTTTACACTATTATCAGGAGAAGCTGCTACCATAACCAACCAGTAGTGTTGTCTATTTCTGCTTTCTTCATCCCACACACCCTATACTGGTTCCTCATAGCTATTATTGATTTCAGTTTCAGTTTTTGGTTCTTAACTTCTGATTGCTCAATGGGATGGGTCCAGATTATCTGGCAAAAAAAAACCTCAATCAAATCTCCAAGAAACATGGCAGTGGTTGACAACTCCTGTTCACAACAGAATTGCCTAAGGTAAGACAAGCACATCTGATTTGAGACTGGAGTGATCTACCCCCTGAAAGAATCCCCACCATCTGCTTTAAGCATGAACTGCATTTCTTGAGCCTTCTCTCTCTAAATGTAAACACACAGTAACATTTGGCTTTCCAAAGAAAACCTAACTAAATATATAAGAGAAACTATTAAAAAAGAATTCCCCTGAAGTGTCTCCCACTATTCCTGACCTACTGCTTGTGGAGGATGAGTGAACAAGCAGTGCATAGTTGATAGCAGTATTCTTGTAAATATGCTAGGAGAAGAGACAGATGATCAGATCATGTGTACTGCAGAACAGAATTCCCAAGTTAATACCAAGTGCCTTTTCCCAAAGCACCAGATTTCCCCTCTAGAAGCTCACACTTGGGTGCCATTATCACACAGCACTATCACAAGTGAGCATCCTGGGAAATAACATACAAAAAGCCCACAAAACACCTCAGAATTCTTGCA